CCCACATCATTTTCCTCTTTAAACAACAATATTTCAGGAAGAGGGATAAGACAAGAAAGGATGTTGTTTCATTACATTATAAAACAGAGAGCCATCAGTAGTTCCTTAAGAAGGACTCAGCATGTAAGTTATTGCAGGGTCTAAAGAGTGGGGAAAAAACATGACCTACAGACTAAATCAGCCCCTCATGCTTTGGTTTGCAGGGCACAAGAGGTAACACCTCACATATAAAAGGAATCAAAAAACTGTTAGTCATCAAAACGTCTAAAACCTAAAAAACACATTACAGGTAACTTGCCCACATTTTGCAGCAAAGCTCACTAACCTCATATTTGGCTTCCTTAGACAGACCTTCTCCCAGACAGCAACCAAACACACACTCTCTCTCCCTACACCTTACTTCTCCCTCTAAAAGGCTCCCCCACAGTGAGCAGCTGCTGCATATTAGGACAAAATCAGGCTGGGTCTGCAGCTCAGCTATTAACTCCTTCCCAACACAGTCCTTTGTGAAACTTGCTACTCTACCACAAAGCAGATCAATACCCATTTTCATTTCCAAAGGCACACTGAACTAATGCCAGTTATAAAATCATAGGACCATGGGATAATTCAGTTGGAAGGGGCCTCAGGAGGTCTCTAGCCCAAGTGGGGTCAGCCCTGAGCTCAGAGCAGGTTGTTCAGGTTTTATCCTGTTGGGGCTTGCAAACCTCCAAGGATAGAGCCTGTCCAACCACTATGGAAAGTCTGGTCCACTGCTTGACTAGCGTCATGGTGGAAAAACCATGAGGTTAGATTTATCTGAATAATTGCTAAATTGTATCTAAGCTGACAGTATAGGTGATGTTCTGTAGGAAAAGATTTTCCCCTTTCCCAGCAGCAGCTCTGTAAGTGATCGCTCTGCATTCCTTTTACAGCCTGTGAATGCAAGAACAATGGGCAGTGCGATGAAGGATACTCAGGAACAGGACGATGTTTCTGTGAAACAGGATGGACTGGCCGGCTGTGTGAAACCAAACTAGGTCTCTGCCTCCTCTCACTGGACTCCATTGCATGGAGCCACGGGTTGAAAGCACTTGTAATTCAACAGAGGGTTTGCATAGAGAAGAGACAGAAAGAGTTAAGAATGTCAGAAGACCTCAAAGGAGACTAAGGGACTCTGCTCTGGACTAAGAACAAGTCCCTTCAACCCCCTGTCTCCTCCTTTGTGAAATGGGAACATGAGTGCCTACCTCCCCTGGGGAGGGGCTGTGGGCTACATGAGGGAAGGTGCCACTCAACAGCTAAGCAGTCAAAAAAATATTATTACATCTTTTCCAGTTAGCAAGACTGGTATGAAGGCTTTTCTTTCTGCATGAAAAAAGGGCATTGCAATATAAATAGCACTTTCATCCCAGCTATTCTTCCTTGCCCACAGCTCTGCCACCAGTGTGTTCCCCGAACTGCTCCACCAACGCCGTCTGCTTGGAGAACAACACATGTCAGTGCAAGCCGTTTTACAACGGGGATGGGCTCACGTGCACGGGTGAGCTCCCTCTCCCATTCACAGCCTGCTACAAGAAAGCAGGCTGTCCCCTCTCGCGTGTGCGCTTGCATGCGGCTACTTCTCGTATGAAATATTTGCAATCAAACCTAACAGCTTCCACAGTGCAGCGAGTGAAACAAATGTAGGATATATACAGATCAGGTTTATTTCTGAAGCAAATGGCTGGCTTCACCAGGTTTTAGCGAGCAGGAATAGGAGCAAGAAGCATGCTTCAGTTGTGTTTTGGAGACAACAGGGTTTCCAGCAGTGTTCCACTTAAAGGATTTTCTTTGATGACCTTAGGCAAGGCAGTTCCCCAGTAACACTGCTGCAGAAACAGTCATTCTTTCTGAGCCAGGTGCCTCACATCCTCTGAAGGCCCCCTGGCCAGAGCAAGTCCCCATAAAAGCAGATCTCTTGGGCCACCGAAGCGTGAAGCAGAATCTCTGGGTGGTGGTGCCATGTCTCTTAAATCAAGGACATCCTGACAAGGGCTTCAGAGCCCTGAAGGATAGCCTTTGCACAAATTCAGGAAT